AGAGGTGGCTTCGGGAAATGCCAGACATTTTTAATAGTTATCGCAAAGTAAAATAAAGTAAAAAGCCTTTACTTCACTTTACTTTGCTATTTTCCACAAAAAATACTATGTGAAAATTAAGAAGGTCTGTGAATCACTTGCAACGGGAATCCCATTACTCCTGCTATTCTGCCACAGTCTTTGCGAATTAACCATACAGGGTCTTAGGCAAGTGATGACACACACATATTTTTAAATAAAACTAACAATACTAAGACAATTCACTAATTTGAGTCTAGTTTCTGTGATGTTGGTGCTGTTAGCCTACACGGCTCTTACAGGTCTGTCGGTCGGTCTCAGGTATTTTCTGCATTTTTACTTGCGTAACGATGTTCACCTACGACAGTTTAAAGTGCACGTGAAGGAGTTATCTAACGGCTGTCAGAACAGGGTGTGGTGCGCCCCGGTTCTGATAGCTAACTCGTATCGGTCAATGTTCTGGGCGGTTCTCACCGCCCAGGGACGCGGGTGTACGGTATGTACGCGGTGTGGAGGAGTGTGCGGCACGACCGTCTGCGGACTCGCTGCGTCACATCTGTTGTTGTCCTAATAGTGTTTGTGGCACTAGGTCATTCTGTAGTGTTTGTGTGTGACTGGCCGGCAACATTTTGGTCATCGGAATCTAACGGAACGGGGGGGTCGATTAGAACGTTACGGGGCCTCCGGAGGCTATCCGTAATGTTCGGAGTCTGAGCGTAGGTGGCTGCGTTTACCACTAGCGGGTTTTAATGTGTCTCGGCCCTCTCGAAAAAGCATTTCCTCGGAATATTCAGAGATAATTTGAAGTTGACAATCTCTGTGTAGTTCGGAGTTCCGCTGGTAGCACCGAGCTCCTCTGAAATTGAATTACTACACTTTCCTCACGATTTGCTTCGATTCTCCATAAGCGGAACCAATCGCCTAAGCGGGTGAAGGCTGTTTGAAGCATCTTGGTAAGGATTCTATTATTATGATGGGCGACGTAAAATGTCGTGACATCCGCGAAAAGAGCAGTATTCACTACTGGGTCCTTCGGGATGTCACTCGTGAAGAGTGTAAAGAGGAGAGGGCAGAGTACAGAGCCCTGTAGTACTCCTGCCTTTAGGGGATGCTTTGTAAAGTGAGTATTCTCTATTCAATAGCGAAAGTGGCGATTGGCAAGAAAAACTCTAATGATGTGGGTGAGCCTATCGAGCACGTTGAGTTTATACAGCTTGTTAAGCAAGCCGTCATGCCAGACTTTGTCAAACGCTTTTGTAACATCGAAAAAGAGGGCACCTGTCATAGTGGTTCTAAGACTTCTTTTTTGGGCGGTTGAATCCTTTCAGAATGTATTCTGTGAGGCGAAGTAACTAATCGGTGCACGGGTATTCGGGTCTGAAACGGAACTGCCCGTCTAGAAGAAGCAGGCAAAGACGTGTTTACGAAGACGATTCAATATGAGTCACTCGTAAACTTACCCCAGTGTGCTGAAGAGACTGATTTGTCTATAACTGGAGGCTAAGTTGCCCGGTTTCCCCGGTTTTGGGATTCCTATTACGTCTGCCTCTTTTCAGGCATCCGGGAAGGATCAACTGGAAAGAAGAACGTTTAATATGTCTACTAGGAGATATACGAGCGGCACGGAGAGAGATTTTATTATCCTGTTGCTAATGCCCTCGCGACTGGGTGCTGATTTCTTTTTGAGACTTTTTATTACTTCTGTGACTTCGTCGTCTGTCACAGGATCTTAGGGGACGCCCGCAGGTGGTAGTGCAGACTTACGCTCGATCTCCGCTTCGACCTATTCAAGGTGGCGGAATCTATAGGTTCGCTAGAGGGAGTATTTTGGCTCTCTAAACTGTCCGTAAGGCATTAGGCCTTTTCAGAGTTGTCAAAGTTGAGATCGGGGTTTCTTGGCCTAGTGAGAGACGGCATAGGTGAGGATTGTTGTGCTTTCAGAGCTCGGGTCAACTGCTAGAAGGCAATATGGATGGCTCAATATCATCCTGCAGGTTATCCCGAATTAGGTTATGTCGAATATTACTCGGAAGCTTCCGAGAGGACGCTTCAACTGTAGAGGTGAAGTGTACCGATAGGGCACTAATCGCCTCATTGGTCTCCTCTGGAGACTTTTTTTTGTCTCTCATTTTGTCTAAGTTCTGGAAGGTCGTAGACTCGAGTTTAATCTCGAACTTACGCCAGTTTACGATCGTTTTTGTCTGAAGGACCTCACCAGTGGTCTGGCCCAGCTGCATTAAACCTGACCTATGGTCCGAGTTTAGTTCTAAAATAGTTTCGATCAATGCTCTCGACAAACGGATATCCTTAAGTATCGCTACGTCAAGGATATCCGTTTGTTGACTAGTAGCGAATGGGTAGCGGGTTGAAGTCTCAGGTGCGATAACATCGAAGTTTAGTCGCTGAGATCGAAATATGCATTACCATTTGAATTGATTGTAAGTGAGTTCCAGGAGGAATGCTTACTCTTGAGATTTCCAGATATTATGACACTGGAGCCTAGATTAAGTAATTCTACAATATCTGGTTCAATTATACATTAAAGCGGCGGTCGATGTACCAAAACTATGGTAACTGGTGGATTGCCAGAGAGGGCTACTTTACATACAGAAACTTCTATGTTAGTTAACGGGTGAGCGTCAATGCGTACGCAGTGTAGGGACCTTTTGTAGTAGATCAAGGTACCACCTCTGCGGCTGGTTAATCTGTCATTTCAAACAATGGCATCAAAACATAACTTGTAAAAAAATCCAAGTCTCGTAACTCAGTTCTATTACCGTTAAAAGTTATAAGATCCATGTAATAACAACTCGGTTAATTTATTCAGTCCCTACTTAAGGGTCTTTCTGTCTTAAGTTATTACGTAATTAGCTAACCTAACAACATCTTAATTATTATCAATGTTAAAAATCTTTTATGTCTTAAATAAATAAATTGACTTGGCAATCGCACGGCTTCTACCTCAGCGCTGCTTCCTTCGCGGCGCTTTAGAACACCCGCGATAGTTTGCTGGGTGTCCCTCTTCGCGGAAATTGACACAGTTCGGAGGTTCAATCGTCTCGGGTCGGGCGTGCGGGAACAGTCAGTAATGCCGTGGTTACCTAGACACTTGACGCATTTAGGCCTGGCGCAGCAGTTTCTGGCCAAGTGGCCGTACAGTTGCCATCGGTAGCACTGGCCAACAATGATGCCTGTTTCAACTACAATCTCCTTTAGGTTGCAGATGCACCGTACGTTGAATATTTCTTGCCTTCTTTAAACAGGTCCAGAATGACCAGGCATAAATCTAAAACGCGTTTTCGGTCGGTCTGGTGGTGCATTTTATGCACCTCCTGGACAATGAGATTTTTGGATTTGAGGTCGTTGAATACGTGCTCAATCTCGAGCGTCTTAGGGAGTCCGCGGACGACCACACGAAGTTTGCGCTTCCTTTTATTCTTTTTTTTTTACTTATTATAAGCCAGTGCTTGAGCATAATCCCACCCGGTGGTAAGTGGTGATGCAGCCTTAGATGGTAAATCACACTCGTCTTATCGCAACAAAAGCCTATTCACTCTCGCCTTGAAGACGCCCAGATTGTATTCGGACGGAAAGATAGACGCCGGCAAGTTATCACTATATATTATGCTCTCGGAAGGTGTATGTATGAAAGCTTACTTGCCGGGCGCACAGTTGATTCGTTACACTACGAATTTCCTCAGTCGAGTTCACGAACATACAAATGCCCTTAACGGCGTTTTGCACCTTTGGGAAGTAGACTTTTTTGGAGTACAACCAGTTCGATAGGTTGCTCCATTTGGATTTATCTTGGATGATCATGGGTGGCGGCGGCTTTTTTTTACGTTCTGCAGGGGCCTTCCCTTTCCTTTTTGCTGCAGGTTTAGCCGCAGACTTAGGGGGTTAAGCGCGAGTCACGGGGGCTGACTTTTTAGGCGGATTGGTAGCGGAGGGCGAGGGGGGCGAGTTAGGCTCGGCTGCCTCTTTAGGGGCTGTGCGTTTGCGCTTTTTGCCTTGGACGAGGGTGAAGTCATCGTCTTTGGGCTTGGGTGGTACACGCGTTTCGGTCTCCATGTTGGAACCTGATTCGGCATGCGAGAAGACCGGAGACGGGCTGCGGGTGGATGTCGCGGAGAGCGCGGGAGACGCGGCGTCATATATAGTGTCAACGGACACGGGGTTCGTAGGTACGGTGCTCGGCGACAAATGATCTTCGATCCGGACGGTCGGACGATCGGTAGTGGGCCAGACACCCTGGATGAAAGGTCTGGCAAGGAGCGCCGGCTTCTTCGACTGTTATGTTGTCTGACTATATTATTAAGTGTAATTTAATTCGTCATTGTTTATGCGTTACACATAATACTTATTAGTAAGTAGCTTTGCTTTATTATTCCATATAGTGGGCGATAAGGAGGTGATGATGAAGTAGTTTTGCACCTTTAAAGTAATGAATAAAAAAATGTTCCTACTTTGCTCCTATATGGTTAATTATGCTCCAATTCTCATAAATGTTTTATCGCTTAATATGTCCAAATTGGCGCAACATTTCGTTTAATTGTGAACGCATCCGAAAAATTTTACTAATAAGTGGCAACACAGAACTGGTAAATTTTTCATCCGCCATTTTTTTCTCATGTCAGGTGCAGCTGTAGTGTAAGACAATAAAGGTTATTTTTTTTTGTATCCGAAAAAGCCACTTCCATCTTGAAATCTGCATAGCGCATTAAGGTAATTATGTTCTAATGTTATTGTGTATATAATCGGGTAAACGAATACGTAAATATTTCATTGAATTGCTGAGTTTGTCATAATCTAACCCCACTTTTTTGGCATGCTCATATTTTCTTTGGTACGATAAGGTAACTTTGCGCCTGGAGCAAAGTAAACCCAAACATAATCCCTACAAAAGTAAACATAGTTTATTCGTTGTAAGTGGTTATTAATACACTTTTTATCAAAGAAATTACTATTTATTTTCAGAAAAGATGCCAAGAAATTATAAAAAACGTATAGGGTCGAGAAATTATAAAAATTACAGCGCCGAAACTTTAAGACAATGTTTGGCTTCCATAGAAAATAAAGAAATAACGCAAAGAAAAGCTAGTGAAAAGTATGGCATCCCACGCAGAACCATTATTAATCAGTTAAGACTCCTACGATCTAAAATGCCATCTCGACCTCCAGGCGCACAAGCAACATTTTCAAGTGAAGAAGAAGCCTTATTTGTCGACTGCATTTTAAGGCTGAGCGAGTACGGCTTTCCTCTCACAATTTTCGATCTTCGCATTGTTATTAGAACATATTTGGAGAAAATTGGTCGGAGAATTACAAAATTTAAAAATAATTGTCCAGGTACTGAATGGGTGTCAAGTTTCCTAAAAAGACATTCATGTTTATCACAAAGATTTGCGACCAACATTAAACGCAACAGAGCAGCCATTGACAAGGAAACCATCACTGCTTACATAGAAAACTTGCAAGAGGTGGTTAGAGACATACCGCCCGAAAATTTATGGAATTTTGATGAGACTAATTTATCCGACGACCCTGGTCAAAAAAAAGTAATAGCGAAGCGAGGTGCAAAATACCCTGAACTTATAAGTAATACCTCCAAAAGCTCAACTTCTATCATGTTTTGTGGTAGTGCTAAGGGAGAATTATTACCGCCGTATATTGTCTATAATTCTAAGCAACTATGGAATACATGGACGGAACAAGGGCCAAAAGATGCCAGATTTAACAATAGCCCATCAGGTTGGTTTGACATGAATATATTTAACGATTGGTTTTTTACACAAATTTTGCCAATATTAAAGAAACAAGAGGGTCCGAAAGTTATAATAGGAGATAACTTGTCATCTCACATTTCTGTAGACGTCCTAAATGCTTGTGACAAAAATAATATTAGATTTGTTTGTTTGCCACCTAATAGCACTCATCTAACTCAGCCGTTAGATGTTGCCTTTTTCCACCCAATGAAGGTAGCATGGAGAAAAATCCTGACCGAGTGGAAGGCGAGTGTTCAAGGTAGGCGAGAGCAAGTACTCCAAAAAAGCAGTTTCCCAGTTCTGTTAAACCGACTCATTGATATTTTGGAACCGACGCGAGAGGTAAACCTCGTTTCAGGTTTTCGGAAATGTGGAATTTATCCGGTTGATGCCAATCCATTATTAGAGAGGTTGCCTACAACTGTTGACAAGACTGCTTTGCAAGACTCTTTTCTGCAGAGTCTTGAAGCTAAGAGGCTAGAATGGACGACAAATAGAACTACAAGAGGACGTCGCAGGAAACTACACATCACTCCTGGAAAAAGTGTAACTGAAGAATTAAGCACACTTTTGGATGATAAAGAAAATGAAGAGTTGGCACAACCGTCAACTTCAAAGATACCATGTCGCCGCAGAGCCAGTTGTGAAAGCTCTTACGCAGAAAGTAACGACATGTCAGTTCATGATTCTTCCGATCTAGGTTCTCTTGGAGATTTAGAAAATCTTGAAGCTAATACTGATACAGCGGCCGAAACTTATAATGAAAATTGCAATTTCAAACCAATTGTGAAGGCGGTCGGGCAATATGTAGTCTTCACGTATGAGGAGGAAATTTTTCCTGGTAAAATCACAAAAATAACTAAAGAAGGGCCGTATATCTCTTCAATGAAGAGGTCACTAAAATCCTGGACGTGGCCTAAACCCGTCGATGAAATTCAATACAATTGGCAGGATATATTGGGATGTATTGAAGTCCCTAAAAAAATTAGTACCCGCCGTGAAATATATTCCGTCCCTGAACTAGACCAAACTTGGGGTTTTTAAATATATCAAGTTTAAAAATGTTGAAGTTTCATAAATACTTTTAGATGTAAATTTTCATTTTTGAGAAGTGTATCTCGTTAGTTTATTTTTGATTGATTTTTGTCCCAAGACTAAACATTTGTAACCAAAGTTACTAGTTAAGATAGCAGTGACTATTATAATTTAAGAATATAAAAAAACCAATGATACAAAGTGATTTTGTAACTAAATTTAAGTATATAACACTATTTCTTTAAAAAACACGTTTTTTTTTAATTTTCACCCATTTTTCGACCATTGATACTATCAAAAAAGGTAAAGAGTAATTTCACGGGAGCAAAGTTTGAATAAGGAAAGTATAACTTTGCTAAAAAAGCTTCCACAATGGAGATTGCTTGTGAAATATACACAGGCGCAAAGTTACCCATAGTCATGGGTAACTTTGCGCCTTGTTCGTAGTTTTATATATATTATAAAATACTTAATTATGTTGATTTAACTTTAAAAATATGTTAGATAACATGTTGTGCTTCAAATTAATACATCTAAGTATATTTCATAACTAATAGTTTAAACAATATTCGTAATTTCCTTTTTTTGGAGCAAATATTGGAGCAAAGTAGGACCATTCTACGGTATTTAGTTTAGTTCAAATAGGGCGCCAATTTCATTTTTGCCTCGGGGCCCTTAGTTACATAGCTACGCCACTGGCTGTTGCCTAATGCAACAAGCAACACAAAAAATTAAAACGATGGCCGCCTCTGAAGCGGCGGGTGTATTTCACTGTACTTACGGCTACCAGGAAGCCAGGAAGGAGAGTTACGCACAAAACGCACTTGAATCCACGACAAGCTTCCGATACACTTCACAACAACACAGTGAGACTGCTGTCTCCCGTTGACAGCGTGCTTCGCGTACCACAGTGTGAGCACTAAGACAGGAACCAAACACAGAGCACCAAGTAAGGCGTTGTATTTATAACGATGGTCTATTTTTGAGAAGAGAGTGGAGTGACGGGAGTGAACTCAACCGACACGTCCGGAGTCTACAGAGCCCAAGCGCAGAATTTAATGAACTACTAATTTCAGGAGGTATCAGAGCAACGCAGAGCCAGGAATTGTTGTTGAATCAATGTGGCATCTTAGTCGGAAGGTAGATTGTGGTACGGTTTACCAGAACGGTGGTGGCAAATCGTTTCAGATTTTAGCATTATATAACTGTATTATGTGAATATGACTCCAATCGATTAAGTCAATTGGAATTAACACGATCACTAACAGACGCACAAAAGAATAAATAAAGAAAGGATGTAAGGACTTATTAAAATGTTGAAATGATCGAAGTACTTAGGACATGTATTAAGTATTCCATTTTCAACTTTCACGAAAAACTATAAACCCAAGAACGAAGAAAGTAAAACTCAAAGTGTATTTTTATTCTTTGCCTCTTAAAGACTTTATAATGAACGAATACCGGAACTTTATCCGTGAAAAGCAGCCTCCATCGCAGACGTCCCTTCGCAATTATGAACGAATTTTGTTTGTATAAATTTCAGTCAGACATTTTGTTCTTCCTTATAAAACTGAACATAAAAAAGTATGCCTACCTATATAATTTATATAACGTATCCTTATTATTTTGCATCCATAATTAAATTTAGGCCTGTCTAGGTGAGCTTAAATAGTAGTAATGCTTCCAGAGGATTTCTGTCATCAGCAAGAAAATTCAGTATGGTTCCTCCATCTTACTGCATCAATATGCCTATGTCTCGTATAGGGAACGAGTATAATTGCAAGCTTTGAGACATTTCTTTTTATTAATTTCATCTTAGTCTTCCGGGATGACAACGTAACGTCATTTTGTTGTTGACTGCAGGTGTCCATGGACTGCAGTAGCCACTTATCAACAGGTCGATATTGATTTCATCCATTACTACAGTTTTATGACAGAATTTTTTTTCTTGACACACAAACACACACAGAAAAGAGCCTACTCCTTTTTAAAAGGCCGACAACGCATCTGCAATTCCCCTGGTGTTGCGGTTGTTCATGGGCGGCGGTAGTCACTTACCATCAGGTGAGCCGCATGCTCGTTTGCCCCGTCTTCTATAAAAAACACACACACACACACATATTCAGTTAATCGCTCTCTACTGATGGTTTACACTTATTGTTTCATTATTTTCTACTAGGGCTAAGACCTGAGAGGAAAACGTTCAATGGAGTTCGTAGCCGCAAATACAGTATTATTTTTAATAAATTTTTTATTTCGTCAAATGTTCAAATTACTTATTCGTGAGGAAACCTACATGTCTAAGAAATATAAATATTTCGAGAACATGTTGTGTCCGCCTTATTCCGCGACTTATTTCTCCATATCGCCTTTATGAATTGAGAAAGGGCCTATGCCCAGCTGTGAGATGTATAAAGTCTTTAACTTACTTCTTTTACTTTACAGTTATTATATTTATAGATAAAATGATGCAGATACATCAGGACCGTGCCTTGTGACGTTTGTGGTGCTGTAGCTGTGATGATGATGACGATGGAACAGGACCTTTCGAATGGTGTAAGTTTCATTCCCCTGTATGTTAAACTTATCTTTGTCAGCTCAGTAGCGTGCGGAGTGACCAGGCCGCGGGTTTAAATCCCACACTTAACAAGCATTTACATGGACTACAAATAATTGCATCGGGACTTTAAATATATTTGTCCATGTGCACATATATACGTAACACACGAAGCACCGAAGTACAGGAGGAAAAAATCCATGTAAAGTGTTTTGAAAACAAAGAAAAAAGGAATATAATTTTTAGTAATTTCACTTAAAGTTCCTTGTTTCCTCACAGCATAAAAATAATTTATAAATCTTGCATCCCTTTTTATTTCCTTATCTGGGCTCCGAAACTTTAATTTTAATTAAATTCCTGGCCGTTGATCTCGAAATCATAATGCTGAGTTTTAAGCTGAAATACTTTCGATAAATTTTCGCGATAGTTTTCAAAGATTTTTTTGGTATTCCTCAATGGCAATGTGACACTTTGCATAAAATAATATCATATATTTATTTAAATACAAATTGAGCCGAGAATATAGCTCTAAGAACCGACAACCATTGGGTAAGAAAGGTTCTCGAGTGGCAACCGCGTACCTGTAAGCGAAGTGTAGAGCGGAATCTCACCAGAACGATTTAGTAAAACATTCAGGAACAGGAATTCTATGAATACAAGTGGCCTAATGGGACCGTTATTTTGTGTTATATATATAACGGGAATGAATAAAACTATGAAATTTTAATAATGAATTAAATAGTTTAAATAATATAAATTCTAATGTTTTATCTTAATTTCATTAATATTAATTTAGCCATAAAATGACTTAAAAATTTAGGATTATTTATTATTGTTGTATTTCTTTTAATTAACCAATCAAAAGCCAGAGGTTCATGGCTTGATTAATACGGTGATCACAACAACCAATCAGAGCGAGGTTCGCTGGTGAAACGCCTCGAGCGGAGTCGTAGTGCGACTGGATGAAAACAAAGACAAAAGAGGAGCGGATATAATCGGCGTGGGGTACAGTTTTTTTTTTCTGTTTGGTGAGTGCTGGTGTATGTCTGTGTAGCATTACGAACTCGCTGCTCTTTTATTAATTTTAATATTCTCTAATAAAATTTAGTTAGTGTTATTTTCTGTAAGGTTTAATTTAAATTTAAATTAGTAAAAGTATAAACAAGTTTATTATTCGTGTTGTGTGTTGTGCTTGTATTTACCCAAAATGTCGCCCACAAGACCTGTTGATAATAATGGCTTCATTGAATGCGACTTTTCTTCGACATATATATATATATATATATATATATATATATATATATATATATATATATATATATATATATATATATATAATATAATATAAAACAAATATATAACAGATAAATTTGCAATTTATATATGAGGCAAATTTATTATTTAAAAAATCAATCAATGACTTTAAATAAGGTATTGCTTTGTGGTCAATGCAGTAAGGGTCTCCTATTACAGCCAGCTACAACTCTTCTTTATCCGTTACTGTTACAGCCTATTAAAGTCCACTGCTGCACATAGGTCGCCCCCATATATTGCCTCATAGGGGGGATATTTGCCATAATTTGCACGCTGGGCAAGCATTGCAAGCGTTATAAGCATAAAGCTCCTGCCCATCTACTGATTGATTTCTCCCGAAAAACGCTCAAAATCGTTTGAAAATGTTTAAAGTGTAAGCAAATTAAAACAATAGGTACATGTTATCTTCAATTTCTTGGTAAATTCAACTTGGTGTTAAGACGTCTTTATTATGCTTAATTTTTAATTTTCGTATATTAATTGTTGAAAATTGGGCGTGTAGTGGCGGTGTAAGAATATCCACTACCCCATATCTTTCCGCGGGTGTCGCAAGAGGCAACAGAGGGAAACTAAAACAAAAGACGGGCATCTTCTTCGCGTCTTCCTGATAATAGCTCAAAATATTTAAAAAAAACTGCGGTTGCCAACCCGCCCGTCAAGCGTGGCAACTATAGCAAAATTCTTTTTTTTTATAGTATAGGGTGACAAACTAGCACACAGTCTACCTGATGGTAAGTGGTTACTGCGACTTATAGACATTTTCATCTATCCTCAATAAAGACTCAAGATGCAGATGCGTTGTAACTCGTGAGGACTAAGATACAATGCCATTTTTCCAGTAAAACGGGTCTCCGGTTCTCTACACTAGCACTATACGAAACACTGCTGTGTTCGTATAGTGAGTGTAGAGTGTAGAGTGTAGTGTGGTTTTCTGTGAGAGCGTGGTCCTTCCCCGGTCGAGCCGAACCATTCGTGCTACAACTATACTACTAATATAGCTTGCAGCATGGCTCTACCACGTGTAAATTCTCCCTGCGGCAATCTATGGGTGTGATCTATGTTCAGCTGTGAACTTTATTAACTGTTAAAAATTTCATTCAATATTTAAAACCATTCTAATAAGACGTTACGTCACCCA